GAGAGAGAGAGAGAGAGAGAGAGAGAGAGAGAGAGAGAGAGAGAGAGAGAGAGAGAGAGAGGTAAGGAACCACATACCAAAAGGAATAATGGTAGGAGATTGTGATCAAAGCCTTCCAGAACACGAACTGGGTAGTGAGGAAAGGTAATGCTTGCTGCCAAGAATAGGATGACAGCCTGAAGATGACCGACCAACGCATACGAAGTCAGTACTCAAAAGAATTGCCAGTGGCTGGAAAACCAGAGAACCAGAGACGTTAGTTCACATAACTTATCAGTGACGTGACTCAATTCCAATCCATTTTCTAAACTAACAGACGAACGTATACCGTTTCGGGCATACCGACAGCAGTATCAAAGTCGGATATGTGACAAAACTGCCAATATATCTTTTTTTGTTTGAAGTTGGTAATGAAAGGATTTCACATGTAAGGGCACTCTGTTCAAGTCCTGGTCCTGAAGTTCCAGAGCCCCATGTAGCATAGTACCATTCTGGTAGGTAGGATACCTAGGCCTAGTACGTAGCCCGTTAGGTATGGTAGGTCCAGCCCGTTCATTAGTCCAGCCAGTCAGTACAGTCTGGTCAGCAGCTCAGTTCCAGGAAAGCCAGTGAACTCTCCGGATGTGTCAAAGGATGGCAGCCACGGAAGAATGAGGGTACCAGTCCAGCAAGTCCAAGGTTGGATACTGAAGAGTCGGATACAAAAGTTTTCTGCAGCGAAGCGTCAACACATTTCCATTCGAGCTTGCTGCAGAAGCGCTCAGTCACTCTGTCAGTTTGGTAGGCCTGCCAGTCCAGGTTGGTGCAGCAGCTCCATCCCAGGAGAGTCTGGTAACTACTGGATGCGTTAAAGTTAGCCGTGGCCAGCAAGTCAGGGCCTGGTCCCAGATGTACAAGATTGGGAACTGCAGCAAGTAGAAAAGTCCAGCGGCAGCCAAGCACTAACACAATTGCATTTGAGCACAGAAGCGCTGTTGTGGTCTCGTGTGCATAAGTATCGAGTGAGGCTGGGGCATTTTAGTAGGTAGTCAATTGCGCTGGCACCATAGTTGTACAGCTCTAGTGAGTGACAGCTGAGAGAGAGCATAGAGGAAGACACTCAGAGAGCATGAGAGAGGCCTGAGGGTAGCTTGGACTTGAGAGAGAGACTGAGAGAGTTCTCCTCCTGTGAGTGTGGTGGAGATAGCTACTGGTGTACATGCACCTAAGACTTTGAATTTTCAAACAATGTTCACTGCGTACTCATAGCGTATTGATTTGCATCTCGTGTTTGGAGGCTTGTCTGACGAATGGTGAGCTCATCATGTTGCAAGCAGCAGTGTGACTTTGCGAGATCATAACAACACCGTCCGGACCGGGTTCCGGACATCCGGTGTCCGGTGTCCAGTTCTTATGTTTGGATGGAGGCTCCCAGGACAAAAATCAAAAAAGAAAATGGGGCGCCCCAGGACGTTTTTCGGGTCCTGGCCGCCCCTCAAAAAATAACGGGGTGATTTTTCAGTGTCGTTTCACCCCTCCGGACAGGGCCTAGAGGTCCGGACACAATACACTGCAGGTTTTTGGGGTGGCGGGTTTCACACAGGCCCGAGCAATTTCAAAGCGGCCGTTTCAACATGCCGCCCACTGCTGCTGCCCGTTGTGGATGGA